TGATTTTTATAATAAATTACTATGACGAATTTTTTATAATAAAATGATCGACAAAAATTGAAAAATCTCACATAGTGTAAATTACATATAGCGCTGCACTATGATAGTTAATCATATGATGTGCAACACCCCAGCGATGCATCGCTAGTCCATATGGGCCGATTTTGACTGATTTGAGTGATATAAAAATGTGATATCTCAAATGGTTACACTAACCCGATAATCATAACTGATAATAATGTCTTTATCCAAACCTTTTTTTTGTTCCTTATGTTCTAAAACGTATTTAACAAAAGGGTCTCTGTTTTCTCACGAAGCAAAAAAACATCCACATAATCATGTCGTACCTCATAGTTCTGGGTTTGAACTTCCTTCAAGTTGGTGTTTGTGCCAATTTCGGTCAGTTTTTCTTGCGAATGTGAAGTCCCGTCTTCATACCCACCGCTCAGCCCAAGGCTTTAAACAATTCACTATACACTGTCCCGAAAACCTTTTTTTTTATGTATTTCACCATGAACCAAGTTTCGAATATCAGTCAGCTCGGCGAAAATACAAGTGTACATATAAAGGAAGAGACGGGTACCAAAGAATTGGTTATATTTTCGCACATCCTGGTTGGGGCAAAAAAAAAACAAAAACAGGAAGTGAAGTTAGTGTAATAACCGAAAAAAAAGACCTTGAAACACAACAAATGATCGAAGTTGAGTTTGGGTTCTTTTGGGAAGAACGAACAACTAAGGAAACATATAATGAAGAGAGCTATACGTGGACTTATGGACTTTTAAAATTTACATTCGAAATATGTAAACGAAATGTGATTGTAATTTAAATTTTATTTAAAATTTACAATTTTTTTTGAATAAAATAAAGGTGTGTCATTGATGTAGTAATAAAGTTGCCGATTTTCATATGAACATATTTCATATGCTGCTGGTTTTAAAGAATTGCCACCACCCATTGTAGTACCTCCATAAAATAGTTGAACATGGTTATGGTTTTTTTTTTCAATTCCTGAACACGAAAACCATCGTAGATTCAAATTTTTTGTTTTAAGAAACTTCATAAATTTTGGAATATGACATGCGAGTACATGCATATAAGGAGTAATATCATCACGTTGATATAATCCTTCTTGTAAAATTTTTCCTTCCTTAGTTTCAATCGTTGGTTGGCAAAAATTTTTAACCCATTGTCGTGCTAAAGTTTTGAAATTAATAATATCTTCATCTGTTAGATCAAGCCTACGCATTGTTTTATATAAAAAATGAAAATCTTGCCAAAGTTTTTGTATATCTTTCCCTCGTTAGCCTAAAATAAATAAATTGATTAGAAATTTTTCCAAAAGAATTAACTTATCGGGTCCCATTAATGATGTCCAATACCATCTTCCTTTTGAAGTTTCAGGTTCTTTAAATTTAAATATATTAATACCGAGTGAATGAATTGTTAATTCAATTCGTTCTCGAATTGTTAAACCGGTATTATTTTTTAATCGTTTATTAAATGAAGGTTCAGTTGATAATTCTAAAAAAAAGCATTCGAATAAAACATCAGTAATTCGAAGCATTATATGCAACTCATCTGGTATACAATGTTGATTTTCTAAAAATGGTAAAAGATTGAAATTTTTGCGACCCTGTGTATTACATAAATTTTCGTAATCTAAATCCATATTCCAACGATCGGTACTTTTGCAATCACAGTATAGACAAAAATAAATTGCCGTAGGTCCTTTAGTACCAAGTACTAAAGACATAAACTTCCAATCAGAGCCAAACCAAAATTCAATTGGCCAATGATTATTATTTGAATCAATAATTCCTTCTGTATTTAATGATAATAATTCGTCAATCAACAAGCTAAAAGCTTGTTGAAGAGATTCGTATTGTTCAGTACCAGTATAAAGAAAAATACAATGTTGATTTTGAGGACTTAAAACTGCTTCGTGTTCATTTAATATACAGGCAGTAAACATTACATGATTATGATGTTTACCAACCTGTCGTCCATCACCACTTAATTTAACATGAACAATGTCTCCTATTCGTAATACTGGTGAATCCTTATATGCTAATTTAGAAATTAAAACATGTAAAATATTTTTAAGGGATCTATAAGCACCATTTGGTGTGACTGAAGCAATTTGAACTACGTGAACGGGAATTATATTGTTCATAATTCTTGTTATTTCTTGTCGACGTTCTCCAACTTTATATTCACGTTCCATATCAGGCATAATGGCAGCAAGTTGACGATATCCATTACGAGTAATTAGAGACTCATCACAAACACGAATGATTGAATCTAAATGCTGAGATAATTCTGGTTTTTTCAAATCTACGTTTCGTAATTTAATATATGATCCATCTATATTTAATTCTAAATGTTCTAATTTTGTATTATAAAAATTATGTGAATTAATTATAGATTCAATTTCACTATGAATCTTATAAGCCAAATTTTGGAGCCGAACTTTTTTTTGTGACTCTGATCTAAGTTGATGGTAAGGTTTATTTTTTTGGATTCGAATTGGATTTTGATCTTGATCAATTCGTCTTTTTTTTAAGCATTCGAGATCAAACCCAAAAAGTATTGTCCCAGACAATAATGATTTGTTATTACCAGTTAATTTCTAATTTATAAAAATATATGGTAAATATTATCATTATATATAAATTATAATAATTAGACAATTAATTAATTCTAACCTGTAAAAGTAAAGTAGCAACATTACTTGCTGATTTATTACTTGATATTGATTTCTTTTCTCCATTATTATCGTCCCAAGTTACTGTGTATACTACTTTATCACTAGAATCATATTGTGTTTCAGCAATAGTATCCACACCATAGATCCTTACACCAACCATATATCCATTCGGAATTAGATAATTGCTTCGTTGGGTTTGTTTAACATGTGATGGGTAATGACCAAGACGCCAAATTTTGTAATGATATTTTTCTTTTTTATTTTTAAAAAACCGAGTAATATAAATATTTGGATAGTTATCAACAACTTCTAAAGAACCAGTTTGTATAACATTTTGTGATTGAATTTCTTGAAGGGGGTAACAGGATAAACAACAGGTTGAAGAATAATTTATTGGAGAATAATAGGTTGAATAAGAACTTTGCTGAAAGTTTTCTAAGTTAGACGGCATTGTTATAAATATTTGGGATTGGATTGGTAATAAATTTTTGTTCAAAAATACAAAAACAAAAAAAAAAATGTTTAAAAAAAAAAACAAAAAAACATATATAGCACATAAGTTAAAAGTTGTTCTACGTTATGTTAAAAGTCGTGGTGAACATTGCCTAACCTATGTTAAAAGACATTCTAACTAGTAAAAAACTCATGGTGAACTCATGGTAAGCTCATGGTAAGCTCATGGTAAACTTATATTTGCAGTCTAGCTTGAGCTTTTGGTTGGCTAGAAAAAACGTTCTTTTGATTCACAATTATCACCTTGAAATATTATTGGTAAAGCTTGTTGTACAAAATCGGATGATCTTAATCACATTATTCGAAAACATCACTTATATCAGTCAAAATCGGCCCATATGCTATGACCGACCAATCAGAATTTAAGATCAGGTGTAACGTGAAAATCACGATTTTTTCAAGAAATCGCTCGTAACTCGAAAATTTGCTTATGAAACTACTTTCT